GACAAGCTAATCTACTCAAAACTAAAAGAAAAGAGAAATATGAAAGACAAAATAGTGGAGGATATGATATGTTTAACATATTGGCCTAAAACTGCTAATAATTGTCAAGATGATCCGAGCTTCAGAGAGAGCAAAATTTTCTCTTCATTCAAGTGTGAAATTACGAGAGAAGGTAGGAATTACGATGTGCATTCTTATGCATATGATAGATATTTCTATACAACATCAGTAGATTGTGATTATATCAGTAGAAATGACACGAAATCCCAGCCTTTCCTCCACTATCACATCTCTTGGATTTAGCCCTCTGAACTTACAAGATATAGAAACAAAAAGAACCTACCTCTATACTAAATGGAGGAAAATTCAGTAGCTGCAGATTTGTATGGGAAACCACTTTCACAAGAAGGTTCGAAAAACCACCGGAGCAGTGGACAAACTAATACCAGAAGCTTTCTGAGTAGCTTATTGAGTTTTTCATATTGTTTCTCTATCTTTTGAACCTAGCAACAATGAACAAGAGGAAAGTGAAACTTTAAATTGAACAAAATAAACTAAAGACCACTCCTCCTCTGATGCACACTTTGTTAAAGAAATTGTCCAGGCTTAGTTATCCTGAATTCGTTGGTCCCTTCATTCCCATTTCAATGTCCATTTCTGGAAGATCTATCCCCAAGATCGCAAATGAACTGTGAAAAAAGAGCACATAAGAGAAGGAAACAATTTAGCCTTCTAGATAGCAAACCAGCTAAGCAAACATACCAGCTAAGCAAACATGCCAAGAGAAACACTTATTTGAAACATTTAGAAACCAAGAAAGAAAAGTTGCCCTTTACATCTGCAGATTATAAACTATGTACTGATGTGCTTGAGGAGAGATCTCAAATTCAATCTTTTCCAGGATTCGATAAGTAGAAAGGTAAATGATTTACCCCTAAAAGTTAAAGAAGAGTTGAATAGAAATATAATGCCAATAAGAATGATACAGATGCAACCTGACTCTTTAACAGTTGTGGCATTATCGATTTAAATTTTATTTTTGTCTCTAAAATTATATAAATAAAATAAATATAGAAGATTGCCTAACATGATGATATGACATCTAAAATCACTTCTTGAACTTCACAATCTCAGTTTGTTGAACGAAATATTAATGCAGAGGATGAAGTCACCAAAATAGATAGATAAATGGAATGTACATGGATGGTAGCAATTGACAGCAAAGAAAGTGGAACCAGAAAAGAAAATCCAGTAGTTGTAAGGCAGACAATGTGAGAGAAAGCAAATCGTGGATAAGAGTTGGTTTCATTTGGAACTTATGTTAGGTCATGCGATACTGGCTATTTTACCTGGTTTCCTTGGAAAGAGTATCGTGTACCCCTACGTCTTCTCTACCTACCTACTTGTGTCTTTAATACTCTTTTGTTTAAGCCTCGAAGAATAAGGAAGCCCAATTCGAAATATTTGGCTATGTTAACCGTAGAACCAGGAGCGCTGATTCAAAAGCTGCTGGAAGTTAGAACTCGAAATATCTGGTCTGTTCCTCATCTTCCGGCCCAAGTGAAGGAGAACGTGGCTTGAGTTCAAGTGGGAGTTTGTTTAGGAGTCTAAGCTATAAATAAGTCCTTGGACAGTAGAGTAGGCATTGAATTTGAATTGATGGCAATCGTGGTTTGTCTCCGGCCTAAATTGGAAAATTTCTATTCCAATTCACTATTTACAACTTGTTTCATTTGTTGTGCTCCAACAAGGTCCTTTACGTAAAGTTCATTTTTGGGTTGTCAATTTTCAGAATGTTTAGATGGAAAGTAGCAATCAAACTTGTCAATAGGAAAATAGCTAGTAATATTTTTGTCGTGTGCCTGAAATAGGTTCTCCAAGTATATACAAAGATTTGGGGATTATTATGTTCACAAAATTATGTGAAATGTTTATGCTGTAATCATTCTGACATGGATTTTAGCAGGACTCTCTGGTTTGACATTTTGCTTTAAACTCCAAGATAATGGAAACTGAATGATATCTTTCCATTCCCAATCCAACATCTTACACAGCCCAATAATGACAACACATTTAAGGAATATACGAACTATTTGCATAACAATTTTAACTAAAAGAGGCTGAATCAAACATATGGAGCAAAAAAATTGGAATACAAATGGGATTATAATGATCACCTTCAAAACTTAATTAAACATCAACTTGACAGCATCATTACAAAAAGATAAAAAAGAAACATTGATAAGAAATTGTTAAAATGATGATTCTCTGATATACTTGATGTTTGAACACAACATGCTTACACGATGGGTGTTTCAGAAGATTCTCATTGTTGGTTTAACATCAATCTTGACATGGAGTACCTATTAAAGCAAGAGAAAGGACATTACATAGCAGAAATAGAGAGAAACAAGACCAAAATAAAGATCAAATTAATTAATGAATATAAGTATCCATTCTACTAATTCTTTTACCATATTACGACTTTTGCTTTATGTTATGGGGACATTCCAAAGTAAAAGTTACAGAATAAAAATGTATTGTCGTACAATTATACAGTAACAGAATATTAGTAATGTTGGATATTGGTTAAATAAATCGAGAATTGAAAATCAATTAAAGTTCGTATCGACTTCGGCCAAATACTCAAAAGCTCGACTCAATCCGTTTAGGCAAAATTGTTTGCCACTTCGTCGCTTCGGGGCGCACAAACGGGGATCGACCTGACCGAAGAGAATTTTGATTTCTCTGCATGTATTGAAGGGTATATTTGTCATTTCGAAAACCAACATCGGATGAATGAGAAATTACGAAAAAGACCTCAACCATTAGTGAATAGACACCTTTTCATAAAGGTGCATTGTTTGGAAAGGGTGCATGGTTTGGCCTCAACCATTTCGTCCACACCCTTTTATGGTCTATAAATAGGACCCTTTGGGTGTCCTATTCCACACAGTTTGATATTCAAAAACGTCTCTCATCCTCTCTTCTATCCAAAATCAAAATCATTTCATTTATTTTGATTTTCTTTCATTTCATCTTTGGAGTACATAAGCCTACATTTGGTTCGTTGTACTTGTGTTTTGGAGTGCTACAAACACAAGTGTAGCCGTTGTATCTTGGGAGTCGATTGCCGAAATTCGTAGGCACCGTTGCGGGGCAAATTCGACTTAAGGACAAAGAGTCCAACTCTTGCCTCGGCTTTGTCACCATCATTATACTTATTTCGGCGTCACTATTCACAAAATTCTTCCAACAATCTTAAGTCGAATACCTATATATATTTTGTGAAAGTGACATTCTTGTTTGGTTAAACTTGTTAAGTTTAACTTTTTCTTCACTTCTATTTTTGGTTGATCTTCTGTTTTACGTAAACAGAAATGAATACGGTTCTTAATACCGATACTACTTCGAAT